GAGAGAGTCCAGGGGCGAGCCTTGAGGCAGTCCAGTCTTGGGCTAGACTTGGGTCAGCCTTGCAAGAGTCTTGGGGATTTTTTCCCCAGGACGCTGTGTCTTATAGAGTGCTCGATTGACCGACTAAGACGAGAGCTGAAACGTATTTCGTTGTGTGTGTCTTATTTGACTGTAAAGTATAAGTGACTTTCCCGATCCCGTACCTCAAGGGGACGAGATATAGAGACGAGACGAGTTCCCCCCGACAGAGTGGAGAACACCCGAGAGAGAAGATTTACCCCCGTGATACGTGGTGTGAGAACCCTGGGCATTGCGTCTTACGCACATTGACATCCTGTGAAGAAAAGTGAATTGGCGAAGATGTGTCTTTCTTGTGAATCGAACTAACTGGCTCGATGTCAGAGACGAAACCGCGCTCGACGACTAACACCGTTAACAGTATGGCACCGATGAACGACGCTGAAGAGATGAAGACCTCTGAACCCCTTATGAAGGATGAGTACCGGATAGGACTGTATAATTAAGAATTGAGCGACATTAAAGACAAGAAGATGATAAAGAACGACCCGGAATAACGCGACAAGAGAAGAGACGCTTATAGACTTTGACTTTAGCTATCTGTGTATTGCTTAGAGAATCGCTCGCTGGACACTGTAACGGACACTGTAACTCAAGGACGTTGAACTCTTTTCCACAACCCTAACCCTATTGCTCGGTAATGTAATGTATTGCTTGCTTTTCCTATCGTTTTTTCTTACCGTTTTTTTTTGTGATGTCGAATTGTATGTTATGTAGGCGCCCAGATCTTTGTTTTGAAATGATATTTAGTGACGTTCGAGGTCCTTTATAATGATTTAAGCGCGCTTCAGTGGACAAGTATTTGCAACACAGTGTTTCGAGTTTTGTGAAGTTTTATGGTGTTTTAATGAGTTTATGAGTACGGATTATGATGGGAGGAATGATGCCCCATGTGTTTTTAAGAGTTTTGAGATTTGTCGATGTACAGAGATACCGACGGTTTAAGAGTTGTTGTTTATGTGTTGTTTCCGGAATACTTCTGACGCTTTTTGAGTTGATAGCACCTTTGTAACGTTTTTTAATGTTTTTTTGGGATGGGAGTTTGGTGCGCTTATATACGTATTGTTTGATAACGCAAGCTTTTGTTCATGATTGACAGGATTATATGTAATTCAGTAGTTTCTATCGTTATAGTCTTTTCCCCGTCTTTTTGCCAGAGCCTGAGGAGTAATATGTGTTATGATAGCGGCTTTGTCTTTGCATTCTGTTTCCCCGCCGTATGACTTGTGTTTAGATTAACGACTTTTGAGTTCAGTTGAAGTTTATAAGCGTATGTGACAAGAGTTTGATTAATAGCTTTTTATTCATTGTTTATTAGTTACCGCTTTGCAATGCTTTAACCGAGAGACGCATCCCTGGTAATCACGTGATCGTGCTGTCGACGGCCGCGATTGGCTGATCGCTTGGTTACACCGCCACGCCTTAGTTTTTTGACCTTTTGATATAGAGTTTGTAACCTTTAGTAACGGAGACAGTGCAGCGAAGGGTTTCCCTCGGCGACCCGTTTTGAGAAAAGTGAGTCGTTTGGTAGCCTTTCCCTTGTTTTTGATTTATAACCGTTGATATTTGTGACTTTATAACCATTGTATTTAGACTTTAAAATCATTGTACTTAATTAGTGTGTTTTACTCTTTTTGATTTATACCTTTTTCCTTAGTATTGTATTTAACCCTATGACGATGAGTGGCTGACGGTATCTTTGATTTATGAACGTGTTATGCCAAGAGGCATATCTCAGTTTGGGTGAAGGGATGTGTAATGAATTTGTTTTTGCGTATCTGTTGACCGACTTAATTAACTGATTATTAGCGAATTGCTGTGTTATGTCTGTCATCGTGTAGGCCTATTTGAAGTTTTGGACGGAACTTGGCTCAGTGATTTGGAACTAATTACGAGATAATCGTCGCCATTCTGACAGTTTATATTCATAGTTATTTTTTTTTTATTCATAGTTATTAATGTAGTGAACGATTAATCAAAAGATATGACGTATTCAGTACTTAGTGTGATTGGCTTTATGATTGAAGGTTACGCCCTAGAGTCTTTTTACTGCATTGTAACTGGTCAGAGTTTTGAAAATGAATAAAGAGAGTTTGAGTTGGTCTTGGCGAAGACTCCACGACAGACGCAGTCCGAGAGAGTCCAGGGGCGAGCCTTGAGGCAGTCCAGTCTTGGGCTAGACTTGGGTCAGCCTTGCGAGAGTCTTGGGGATTTTTTCCCCAGGGCGCTGTGTCTTATAGAGTGCTCGATTGACCGACTAAGACGAGAGCTGAAACGTATTTCGTTGTGTGTGTCTTATTTGACTGTAAAGTATAAGTGACTTTCCCGATCCCGTACCTCAAGGGGACGAGATATAGAGACGAGACGAGTTCCCCCTGACAGTGTGGAGAACCCCCGAGAAAGAGAAGATTTACCCCTGATAAGAGCAACTAATATTCTTCAACCTGGTATTGTTTTCGATTTTTTTTTCATTCTTTTCGTTTGTTTTTTCGAGTTTAAAAAATGTGAGCTGGCTTGAGCCTTCATCCCTTGTCTATTTCTTACACTAGATACCAGCCGATACCCCCCCCCCCCCCGCTCATAGGGATTGCGTACAGTTGATCATAGTTCCTGGGCTCCCTGTGATTTTAGGAGTGTTGGTGCCAATATATGTGCAGCAAACTGAGATGCTAATGTTGAATAATGGCGATGCATTTGGGCTGCTATTTGCGAGAAGAGTAGCAGTTACGCGCATCCAGGGATACGCGGAAACCGTTGTTCCGCGATATGAGCCAGATGACTTTAAAAGCCACTTTAGGTTGGAAAGGTAAAAACTGCCCCGAGTCGCCCCAGTTGTGACGTCACCTAGCAGTCGAACGAAAACTGGGCAGGCGCAAGGCACCCGGGGTCACCCCGAGGCAACGACGCGAACGCACTCCTGCATAGCAATGGTTTGCTTGGCGTACGGTGGCCCATTACGGTGGCCCATATATACAATCGGCGAAGAATGACCAAATTTCGGCGATCAATGACGCATTGCGACGATCAATAACCAATTACGACGATCA